TGATAAAATGGGCGTCTGGTTTGCACCCTCCGATAATGAAGAAACAGGTGATGATCGCCAGGTTGCAGGTTGCAAAGGCACAAATCTGTACTTAGGAGAGGAGCTTTACCCAGAAACAAAAAGCCTTCCCGCGACAGTAAAGACCCATGGTTGACCAAACATCCTATGGTCATATCTACGGCAAATGACCTGAGTAAACGCTTCCTTCAAGTCAGTCGGATATGTGAAGGGACAATAAGCCCCATAGCCTTGAGATAAGCGTCGTAATAATTTGCACCACAAAAGCCGAATCCCTTGCAAAATTCGCTGTCTTTCAATTGCTATTTACTATATGGAGCTTCGTCACTTATGCTATAACGATGCTGATGAGTGACTTACCACTGGATGTGTAGATCTGCTTTTCTTCCTGGTTTTTCAAGAGATAGATCGCATGACATAGAAGTCATGACTCAAACTACAGCTTTGGTAGCAACGTTCTGGAGTTTTTCAGTGTCCGAGTGGAATTTGATTTCATAGGCGGTGGAACTGATTGAAGGTTAACATACCATCCTGCTTTCGAGGCACATTCACGATGGTTTTAAAGTACCCTTTATAAATTGAAAAAAAAATTAGTGATAGCACATAATAATGCATTAGTAGAAAAAAGTGAGAGAAGCCGCAGAACTGGGAAAGGCTGCCCAGACTTGCTTCAATCCTGAGCTATTCAAGACTATGACGAATAAATGGGGTTTGGTTTGTATGCGAAAGCACGCTAGTTGTAAACGAGTAATTGAACTGACAGTTCAGAATATTGCCAAAATGGTGAAGAAAACACGAAAACAGGCAAGCTTCGAAAAAATATTAGGCCTCATAAAAGTGGTGAAGGTGGTATCAAGCGTCGAACGAGAAAGAAATGACAAAATTTGCATTGAAGGGGTATTTGGACACTGTACAAATGTGTAAGCAATTGCGTGCAGCTGTCTGCGTGCGCGTCCCGATGCGAATGATGCAACCTCTGAAGCATCGTCTTGTTCGCCTTGGGTGCGTACGTAGGACCTGACAGCGCAGTTTAAACTATTCTCCCCTACTACCAAAAAATGCTTCCCACTATTGCCATCGGTAAGTGCCTCGGAATATTAGAGGTAAGCAAACCGGACGACCTTGTCCGCGGAGTGTATTCACACCACTTGCGCAGCTCGTGCGCTACCGTACCCGCCGTCCCGTAAATTCTCGCATTCATATGCGAATTGCCCCGACCGCTCGCAAATCGTATCCGGCGCCCTTCGAATTTCGCAATCATGTAGGAATCATATACATATACGGCTATTGATGTGTCAAAATCAAGACAAGATTCGAGAGAAAACTGACTTCAATATAATGATTTATCCCTAAATTTTCAACATATTCGTTTCGTTTCGTTCGACAATTGTGGCCCTAAAGAGGGCCGTTGGGTTAGGTTAAACGTGCACCGACGTCAAGTAGATGGAAGATCTTCTACTTGCTTGAGGTGTACTTGGTGACGGCCTTGGTGCCCTCGGAAACGGCGTGTTTGGCGAGCTCTCCAGGAAGGATCAGTCGGACGGCAGTCTGGATTTCGCGAGATGAGATCGTCGAACGTTTGTTGTAGTGGGCCAGACGAGATGCGTCGGCAGCGATACGTTCGGAAACATCATTCACGAACCAGTTCATGATGGACATAGCTTTGGAAGAGACACCTGTGTCAGGGTCTACTTGGTTAAGTACACGGTAGATGTGCACAGAGTAGCTCTCAGGCTTTCATCAATAATCAGCTAGGAGAATAACGCCAAGCGATATGATCGACGCGGACTATGTGTAAGCTGTGATTAGCCCAGATCTATACATGGATTGAGAAGTTCGAAATTCGTAAGTTAGGTCACCCTTGAGCAAGAACCCAGAAGTTTTTACTAAAGACATCGAAATTCGACGAACCATTATAGGGACCATAAATAAAGGCTGGTCACAACAACTCAAAACAGCATTCAAAGACTGAAACGAAAGAAGAGTTTACTTGGCTCTTTCAAAGGAAGAAACGTTACAAAATCATTTTCAATTCAAAATTATCTTTGGAAAATTAGTTAACTCAGACAGAACACTGCTGTCGATGTTAAACTTCAAAAAAAAGGATTCAAAATCGTGTTCTTATTTCTTGAACACAAGCTTTCTCTTGAAAACTCACTTCCACAAAGAATGCCCGGACGCAGTTGTCTTCCCACACGAAGCGAATGGAAGAAACGTTTAGGTAAGAAGTCCTAGAGGGGTAAAGTTAAGGAATCAGTAACTCAAAATGAAATAAACCCATCAATAACATAAATCCACTGAAGTTCCGATCAGAAATCAGTAGCCCCATATGAATGCGAGAATTTACGGGACGGCGGATACGGTAGCGCGCGAGCTGCGCAAGTGGTGTGAATACACTCTGCACGCGGACAA